ATGGGTAGTACAAGAGTAGATCTACCACGAGATCGAGAAGGCTAAACCCTAGAAGCTAGCCTATGGTATGATTGTTGATGTGTATGTTGTCCTACGGACTAAAACCCTCCGGTTTATATAGACACCGGGTAGGGTTAGGGTTACATAGAGTCGGTTACAATGGTAGGAGATCTGCATATCCGTATCGACAAGCTTGCCTTCCACGCCAAGGAAAGTCCCTCCCGGACACGAGATGAAGTCTTCAATCTTGTATCTTCATAATCCAGGAGTCCGGCTGAAGGTATAGTCCGGCCATCTGGACACCCCCTAATCCAGGACTCCCTCAGAAGGCCTTACTTACAAGGGTCCAAGCCGCGGCGTGGTGACCACCGAGACTGGCGTGAATTTTGGCCAAGAGCTGTCGTCCCTCTTCTCCGGAGATACATCTTTGAAGTACTCCGATAGCGTTTTTCTTGTAGAGCTCTCTGTCATGGACCTTGTAGGCTTTCGAGCGCCGGACAATGCAGCGAGCCTCATTCTAATCCTCGGGGAGCTCTCGCTTATTAAGGTAGGACAATAAGGGTTCGGTCCATGGGGCAATTACTGCCATGATAAGATGGGCCGATGGTGTTATTTCAGTGGCTAAGCCCCCGATGATATCGGTATTGTGTTCGGAATCTGGGGGTATAATCGGGTCTGGACTGGTGTTGCCGCTCTCCCCCTGCCACATCACGGATGGCTTGAAGAGCCTTTCCAGGAATATGTTAGGCAGGACAAGGTCGTGCTTGGCGCCGATGCGAGCAAGGACATCCGCCGCTTGATTACCTTCTCGAGCCACATGATGAAACTCGAGCCCCTCGAACCGAGATGACATTTTGAGAACGGCATTACGATAGGCCGCCATCTTCGGATCTTTGGTGTCGAAATCTCCATTTATTTGGGATATTGCGAGGTTTGAATGCCCGCGCACCTCCAAGCGTTGTATGCCCATGGAGACAGCCATCCGAAGACCATGCAATAAGGCCTTGTATTCGGCTGCATTGTTGGAGTCTGTGTATAATATTTGGAGTACGTACTGAACCGTGTCTCCAGTGGGGGATGTTAAGACAACGCCCACTCCTAAGCCCACCAGCATTTTGGAACCATCAAAGTGCATGACCCAGTTGGAATATGTGTCGTACTCTTTAGGGAGTTCGACCTCTGTCCATTCGGCGACGAAGTCGGCCAGTACTTGGGATTTAATGGCCCGGCGCGGTTTGTATGTTATGTCGAATGGAAGGAGCTCAATGGCCCACTTTGCGATCCAACCCGTGGCATCACGGTTGTTTATTATGTCATTGAGTGGTACTTCGAAAGCCACCGTTATTGAGCACTCTTTAAAGTAGTGTCGTAACTTCCAGGATGCCATGAAGACCACGTATGCTATCTTTTGGTAATGAGGATACCGGGATTTGCATGGTGTGAGGAAAGTGGATACGTAGTATACCGGTTTCTGAAGTGGGAATTTGTGTCCGTCCTCCTCTCACTCAACGACGAGCACCGCGCTCACCACCTGGTGTGTTGTCGAGATGTATAATAACATGGGTTCGCCGACGTTCGGCGTGGCCAGGATTGGGTTGCTCGCTAAAAGAGCCTTTATCTCTTCCAGTCCGGCCGTTGCCGCATCCGTCCACTCGAAGTGGTCGGTGCGTCGGAGAAGGCGATAAAGTGGCAATGCTTTTTCTCCTAGTCTGGAGATAAAGTGGCTTCAAACCGCCACACATCCGGCTAGTTTTTGGACCTGTTTAAGGTCTGTTGGTGTAGCCAATTGAGACAAAGCTCGGATTTTGGCTGGATTTGCCTCAATTCCTCTATTGGAGACGATGAAGCCCAACAGTTTTCCGGCAGGAACGCCGAAAACACACTTTTCCGGATTGAGCTTGATGTCATATGTACGGAGGTTGTCGAATGTGAGACGCAGATCATCTATCAATGACTCGACGTGCCTAGTTTTGATGACGACGTCATCCACATATGCTTCAATTATCTTGCCGATCTGTTTCTCCAGGCATGTTTGAATCATGTGTTGGTAGGTGGCGCCGGATTTTTTAAGTCCAAAGGGCATAGTGTTGAAGCAGAACGGTCCATATGGGGTAATGAATGCCGTTACGGCTTGGTCGGACTCCTTCATTTGATTTGATGGTATCCGGATTATGCGTCGAGGAAACACAGTGAGTCATGTCCCGCAGCAGTGTCAGTAATTTGATCGATGCGAGGGAGGGGGAAGGGATCCTTAGGGCAGACCTTGTTGAGGTCTTTGAAATCGATGCATAGGCGCCATGATTTATCCTTCTTTGGCAACATCACTAGGTTTGCTAGCCAGTCCGGGTGTTTTATTTCTCTGATGAATCCGGCCTCGATTAACTTGGCTAGCTCCTCCCCCATAGCTTGTCGTTTGGGTTCGGAAAAGCGCCACAGTGTTTGCTTGACCGGTTTATATCCTTTCAATATGTTGAAGCTGTGTTCGGCCAACCTACGTGCGATTCCTGGCATATCAGAAGGGTGCCAGGAGAATATGTCCCTGTTCTCGCGCAGCAACTCTCGTAGCATGGTGTCAACTATTGGGCCCAGCTGTGCCCCGATGGATGCTGTCTTCTTGGGGTCCGTCGGGTGGACTTGAAATTTGACTATTTCGTCTGCTGGTTTAAAGGAGGTGGATTTGGGTCGCTTGTCCAGGATTACATCGTCCTTATCCACCATGGATCGCGGCGCGGTTAACTCTTCGGCCGCGAGGGCTTCAGACAGTGCCTTGAGGGCCAGCGATGCGGTTTTGTTTTCGGCGCGGAGTGCTATGTCCGGATCACTGGCAAGAGTGATAATACCATTGAGCCCGGGCATCTTGAGCTTCATGTACCCGTAATGAGGTATAGCTTGGAAACGTGTAAATGCATCTCGCCCCAATAGGGTGTGATATCCACTGTTGAAAGGGGCCACTTGGAAGGTTATCTCTTCAGACCGATAATTCTTCGGCGTGCCGAATACCACATCGAGCGTGATTTTTCCTGCGCATTGCGCCTCCCGACTGGGAATGATTCCTCGGAAGGTCGTGCTACTTTGCTCGATGCGGCTCCTGTCTGTTTCCATTTTGTTGAGTGTGTCCTCGTAGATGAGGTTTAGTCCGCTGCCGCCGTCCATGAGCACTTTGGTGAACCGAAAACCATCCACAATTGGATTGAGGACCAAGGCGGCTGGTGCCCGGACTGTCCGAAATTTTGGTTCGTCGCTGGCATTGAAAGCTATGGCCGTGTTGTTCCAGTGGTTTATTGCTGTGACTTGGCAGACTTCGGCGAGGTCGCGGAGGGCCTTTTTGCGCCGATTGTTTGAAGCGAAAGTCTCGAAGACCGTCAATACGCTGAGGTCGTCGTCTTCCGGGGGATGTTGCTCTGAGGTATTTTTTATGAGGATATACTCGCCGCTCTTGGCCACTTGCTGGAGTATCCAACATGCTCTAAGGCTGTGGGTTGGTATGGTATCCGGTGTTGTGTGTATTCTGCATGGCCTGTCGAGCCATCCCTCCAGAACGGTTCCGCGCCCCGTAATGGGCTTAGATTTCTTTACTATTGGGTCGGGCGCCCCGCGAGGGTGCATCCTTTGCCCCGACGAGGGGTTGAGTGGAAACCGGTGGTTCCCGGCGAGCTGCCTGAGTTTTCCAGGCGCTTTCGGTTGCGCAGTACTTCTGTACTATGGTTGCCAAGTCAGCGAAGTGTAATACGCGACATCGGTTGATGGTGTTGAGGATTCCTTCGTCCGTGCAATTATCGCAGAATACTGAGATCGCGTCTTCATCGCGGCAATCTTTAATCTTGTCTTTGACAAGGAGAAATCTGGCACAAAAGTGATGGACTATCTTCTAAGACTGTTGTCGTATGTACATAAGATCGCGTATATCTGGGTGGGTGGGTGGCTTTAAATCCGAACCCTGACCCAATTTGGGATTCGGAGTTTGAGAAACTTCCGAGCTTAATAGTTCGGGCTTTGGGATATCAACCGATTTTTCAGGTCCACCGTCCGATTCTAGGTTCAGAGGACAGGGCGTGTCGTTCCGCGGACAGGTATCTGACTCTTCGAGCTCGGAAATCCGAACATAGTTCGGCCTCAATATAGAGGAAGAGTTGTTGTTTTGCTCCTCTACTACTGCTATCTGATGGGTGATCGGCGGGGAGTACGGGAATGTCCTCGCATCTCGAATGTCCCCCGATCAACATGCCACAACGACTTCGGCTCCGTCAACCACTGGCGGAGCTATGTTGTGGCCAAATGGGCCATGGCTCGCCCAGATTTTCAATTTCAGCAAAATTATAGAAATGTACCTAGGCCCAGCCCATGAAATACACAATGCTACAAGGCAGCAACCTAGATTTAGCATCAAATTCAGCTCAGCCCGCCCAGTTTTCTGTTTCTAGCTCCGCCACTGCCGCCAACGGCAAGCCTCTCAATCGGCTCACAAAGCCCAATTGGACAACGATATTTCCTCAAATCCGAAGATGACATGTCGCAACGATGGCAATTGCAGTTATTCCTAGAAACTTTATTGTATTTTCTATCTCTTGGGAGGGTTTTTTGCTAGTGTTCTTGGACTTGTATCTTCCTTCGTCCTTTCTGGGTGATTCCAATAGTGTGCGTTGTATCGCAACTTGTGATGAATGAATTAGTGACAGTATTCTTAAAATAAAAATTGCCTAAGGACAAATCTGTAAATAAGCCGAATACAGAATGCCGCCCAATGGGCTGATACGGGAACCAGAGGCACAAAACTAGCGAAGCAGGCCAGATGGGGACAAATCTTGTCTAAAAGAAAAGATGGGATAAATCAAAGTGAACTATTTTTCAGAAGGGAATTTTCCCCGGAAGACCCTCCACCGGGAGTCACCGCTCGTCGGGTCTCCGTCCCCCTCTTTCCCAGCTCCCCCGAATCAGAACTCCGACCTCCGGAGTCGCGCTCGGCGACCGCGCTGCCCTGCCACCTCGAGCAAGCAAGGGAGATGTCTCTAATCCGAATAGCTTTTTCTTTGGTCCTCCTCCTCGCCGCGGCGGAGTCCGCGGCGGCGACGCGCTCACCGTCGGCCTTCGTGCAGAACGCCATCTACTCCAACCGCATCACCATCTTCTCCAAATCCTACTGCCCGTAAGCCGTTCCGAACATCAATTCCTAGAAATTATTTTTGCTTGTGATTTTGGGGGATTTTCAGGTTGTGTATGCGTATATGCGCGTGCGCAGCGCACAGTCGTGGAGTTCACGCCGCGTCGTTGTGAAAGATCCCATGAGGTTTTAATTGCTTACCAGGCACACGTTTACCAAGGGGAAAAGGATCCGGATGTCGTGAATTGGACGGATTTGTGTCTAGTAGATGGCAGAAGCTTGAATTAGGCCCATCGCGTTTGCCATGGCAGTGAATCGCTGGCGGTTGCTTATTAGCTTAGGTAGGCCGCACACTGGGGCCAGAGCTAACAGCTTTATTTGATCAATTGATGCAATTGAACAGTTAATTTGCTATAATTTCAATTTGCTGGCTTACTGCTGTGTGCTGTGCTGAAGGGCTGTCTTAAATGTGCTGTTACTCTCTCCAGATCCTTTTGTTTAGTTTATGTTCACGATGTTGGTCTATAAGAGAATACTGTGCTATAGTAGGTATGTTTAAATCATGCTGCACGGAATGTCGATTGGTCATTTAGAAATTATATCCGGGTAGGCGGGTACTAGCGTACCATGTGACTGAACTTTAGGGTTCACAGATTTAGGCGTTAGTTGGCTTTACGATGAGTTGAGGAGAAAACTATTATTGATGATTGCTTAACAGGCAGTAGAATAATACCAGCATATTTGCGTCTTAGAAAGTACTGCAGTTGGGATGTAATTTGTAAACAGGAAAATGTTCCATCTGTGGCGTCTTCATTTCTGATACCACTGCTACAAACTATTGTACTGTTAAAACATAGAAGGATGAACCACATAAAGGCCAATCATGTTATCGTTTTATATGTCGTCTGTCATTAGAACCGGTACAATTTACATGTGTTTCTTTCAATAAACTTGGTCATTCTGACTATTGTTTTTAACATTGACTCCTTCGGATATTTAAAATAGACCATTCGGTGGAATATCGTATGTTACATACCTGGCCGCTAGGTAGGATGTTCGTGTTTCTTTCGATAGTTAAAATGACAAATTAAAGATATTTGGTTGCTAGACCATAGAAGATGAAAACAGATAATGGAAGTTCCTTCTTGAAATGTGGATACTAGAATCTGTATCTGAAATTCTTGAGTAGTTATAAACTCCAAAAATCAAAGATTGAGTAATCTTGAAGAAGAAGATCATATATCGTCCTTGAAATATTTGTCCTATGCACCTCTCATATGGGTTTCTTGGAAAGAGGAATACCTCTTGTATGGTCTGACTACCTAAGGATTCCTTGTATCAAGTACTAACACTACTCCATACTGTTAGTTATCATTTGTCTCTTTACTTCCCTTCTTCTAGGTACTGTATGCGTACTAAGCGAATATTTAAAGACCTCAATGAAAATCCTTACGTTGTTGAACTTGATCTCCGAGGTAATGGTCCAGATCATGTGGAACCCAGTCCATTTGCATTTGTCAAGGATTTGTGTATACTGTTAGTAATATATCATATGTATACGCAATGCAGAGGATGGCCGAGACATTCAAGGTGTTCTTCTAGACCTAGTTGGGCGCAATACTGTGCCACAGGTGTTTGTGAATGGCCACCACGTTGGTGGCTCAGATGGTCAGTGCTCAAACTTCCCTGCTGCACTTATGTCTGTAAGTAACATGTTAGTACCTGTAACTAATTTTAATAATCTTTCACGGTGCACCTTGCAGATACAAAAACTGCTCTTTCAGACGGACAACTTCAGAAACTTCTTGGTCAGAGTCAGTCGCAGTGATGATCACCGCCGAAGCTTGGTATTGCCCAAAACTTGTGAAATGTCTAACATGCGGTGTTCCTTATGGGAGGAATGGAACCTTAACACTCTTTAGGAATATGAACAGAGTGTTGCAGCTCATGCCAGGATTTTTTATTTTTTTGAGTGGAAGTGTTGTGACAAAAATCCATGTGCTGGATTGTATGGTTTTCTCAAGTGCATATACATTTATCTGTTGTGCCTGTTTTTATTACTGTTTGTGTTCATAAGTACTCTACTTCCTCTTCCATTTTGTATCACATGACTTGGTTTCAGCCTTCATATTATGGAATTTTATTGGAATATCATTGCAAACGAAGTAGTGAAATGTTGTCCCGCAGATCCGAGTATCTTTGCAGCATTCCTGAACTTACAAAGATACGAGTCCTGGTCCAAGCAGTGCTGACTGCAATCCCCTGTTCCTCATGTCGTTGGACCCACCTCCATGGGTTTTCACTTTTCAAGGAGATTGATAAAATTAGAAGAGCTTTGCTGTGAAGGGGAAGCGAATCGGTCGCCGGTGGGCACTGCCTGGTGAATTGGAAAACATTATGCAGACCAAGATTGCCAGAGGTGGCATCTTGGACCTTTACACCATACCACTCAGCGTTTAGGTTGAGACTTCCATGGCGGAGAACAAGCCCTGGTGTTCTCTCTTCAACGCCGCGACAAGAGTTCAGATTGGTAATGGGAAGAACATGTATTTCTGGACTGTCGTCGATGCGCCATCGACCCGAAATCATGTGCCACCACTACCTCCGCCACTGCCAACATCTCGGTATCTCACAGGAGTAACGTCGTTTCCAACCCTAGCTACCGCCACCTAGATCTTCTCTCCTCCCCCTCCCTCTCGGCCTGGCGTGACGAGAGCCTGCCCTTTTTTGTCTTTTCCTTAGGTTTTGATTTTCTGTCAGATTGACGAGGTGGGGCCGACTATGTCATGTTTGAATAAGGTCTCTCCAGCCTCTCCCTACCTCGACGACACCTGATCTGGCACCGACGAAGGGCTTGTGAGAGTTTGTCTCATCAAATATGTTGGCTCTCTTTAGATCTTGATAGTTGGTGTGTCTATCAAGGAGAGCAATTGGCTAGCTATTTGTACAGTGACATTTATACCTTATGTGTTTTCTGTGGCATAGTTTGGTTTCTCCAACTAGGACCGGTGGCGATGGATTGCACGCCTGTACTACGTAGGGTAATGCTCCAACAGATACCGATGTTTCTCCAGCGACTTCTAGATCTCGTTTCAAGTGATGAGTGGCTATTGTGATCTTTAAGTCTAGTATGATGAGAACTTTCGCAGGTCCCTTTTGGTTTATTGTTGGTTGAGTGTGATTTATTAATCAGACAAAAAAGAAATCTAGTATATTTTTTCCAGGTATAATTTTATTTTTAACTAGTAGTTCTTCCTGTTTTCCTTGATAATTATTACTGTCAGATCTAAGACACCTTTTGGTGTCTTCTTTTAAAAAACGGAAGAACACTCATGTAAGGGCATCTCCGACGTTGGCCCTCGAACCGCTTGCAATCGTCCGGACCACGTGGTCCAGACGTGTTTTGCCATCCAACACGTGCCTGTATCGGTTCGCCGATCAGTCCAGACGTGCTTTTTCTCGCATACTGGAAACAAAGTGGGGGCGGCAGGGGGGGGGGCTTGCGTGCGTCCAAACCGCTGCCGCTCCCGCTTCTGACTGCCCTAGCCCACCCAAAACCCCTCCCTCATCCTGCGCCCCTTATCGCCTAAAGGCAGCTGCCCGCATTCATGCCGCTCTAGAGCACCCGTTCCGCATTGACGCTGGTCCAGAGTGGACGTGCCTCTCGCTGGCACCGGCATTGAAGCGGCTTGCTGGGCGAGGGCACCACCTGTGCCGCGTCCTCAGTGTTTGTGCTTGTTCAATGTCATAGAGACGTTTGCTGGATGAGACGAATATCTACCACACCCGTTCAATGCCCGCCCCTTTGTCTGCCGCCATTAAACAGGCTTGCCGGCCAAGAAACCAACTCCGGCGCCTACGCATTGACGCACCGGACGCTTGGCCTCGCTGACATCCACTGTTTAAAGGCGAATAAACTCGGCTCACAATGCACCACATCCCATCCGCTCCCCATCTTCCTCCCGTGCACCATGTTCGCCATGACCGCGAGCAGGAAGGCCTCATGGGAGAGCCTCTCGGCCCAGTAGAAGCACAAGGTGGCCACCCCTTGCGGCCTCCTGGCAGAGTCATCGTGCCAGGTGGATAGAGGCCGTCATGTGTTGGGGAACGTAGCAGAAATTCAAAATTTTCCTACGTGTCACCAAGATCTATCTATGGAGAAACCAGCAACGAGGGGAAGGAGAGTGCATCTACATACCCTTGTAGATCGCTATGCGGAAGCGTTCAAGAGAACGGGGTTGAAGGAGTCGTACTCGTCGTGATCCAAATCACCGGAGATCCTAGTGCCGAACGGACGGCACCTCCGCGTTCAACACACGTACAGCCCGGTGACGTCTCCCATGCCTTGATCCAGCAAGGAGAGAGGGAGAGGTTGAGGAAGACTCCATCCAGCAGCAGCACAAGGGCGTGGTGGTGGTGGAGGAGCGTGGTACTCCAGCAGGGCTTCGCCAAGCACCGCAAGAGACGAGGAGGGAGAGGGGTAGGGCTGCGCCTAGAAGGAGAGGAACTCGTGTGTGTTGGGCAGCCCAAACCTCAAGTATATATAGGGGGAGGGGAGGGGATGCGCCCCCAACTAGGTTTCCACCCCTAGGGGTGGCGGCCAGCCTAGATCCCATCTAGGGGGCGGCCAAGGGGGGGAGAGAGGGGGGCGCACCACTAGGTGGGCCTTAGGCCCATCTAAGCCTAGGGTTTGCCCCCTTCCACTCTCCCTTGTGCCTTGGGCCTTGGCGGGGGGGCGCACCAGCCCACCTGGGGCTCGTCCCCTCCCGCACTTGGCCCATGCAGCCCTCCGGGGCTTATATCCCCACTTGGTGGACCCCCGGGACCCTCCCGGTGGTCCCGGTATGTTACCGATAAACCCGAAACTTTTCCGGTGACCAAAACAGGACTTCCCATATATAAATCTTTACCTCCGGACCATTCCGGAACTCCTCGTGACGTCCGGGATCTCATCCACTCCGAACAACATTCGGTAACCACATACAAACTTCCTTTATAACCCTAGCGTCATCGAACCTTAAGTGTGTAGACCCTACGGGTTCGGGAACCATGCAGACATGACCGAGACGTTCTCCGGTCAATAACCAACAGCGGGATCTGGATACCCATGTTGGTTCCCACATGTTCCACGATAATCTCATCGGATGAACCACGATGTCGAGGATTCGATCAACCCCGTATACAATTCCCTTTGTCTAGCGGTATTGTACTTGCCCGAGATTCGATCGTCGGTATCCCGATACCTTGTTCAATGTCGTTACCGGCAAGTCTCTTTACTCGTTCCGTAACACATCATCCCGTGATCAACTCCTTGAGCACATTGTGCACATTATTATGATGTTCTACCGAGTGGGCCCAGAGATACCTCTCCGTCACACGGAGTGACAAATCCCAGTCTCGATTCGTGCCAACCCAACAGAAACTTTCGGAGATACCTGTAGTGTACCTTTATAGCCACCCAGTTACGTTGTGAAGTTTGGCACACCCAAAGTATTCCTACGGTATCCGGGAGTTTCACAATCTCATGGTCTAAGGAAATGATACTTGACATTAGAAAAGCTTTAGCATACGAACTACACGATCTTTGTGCTAGGCTTAGGATTGGGTCTTGTCCATCACATCATTCTCCTAATGATGTGATCCCGTTATCAACGATATCCAATGTCCATGGTTAGGAAACCGTAACCATCTATTGATCAACGAGCTAGTCAACTAGAGGCTTACTAGGGACATGGTGTTGTCTATGTATCCACACATGTATCTGAGTTTCCTATGAATAAAATTCTAGCATGGATAATAAACGATTATCACGAACAAGGAAATATAATAATAATCAATTTATTATTGCCTCTAGGGCATATTTCCAACAGTCTCCCACTTGCACTAGAGTCAATAATCTAGTTCACATCGTCATGTGATTAACACTCACAGGTCACATCGCCATGTGACCAACATCCAAAGAGTTTACTAGTGTCACTAAACTAGTTCACATCATCATGTGATTAAGACTCAATGAGTTTTGGGTTTGATCATGTTTTGCTTGTGAGAGAGGTTTTAGTCAACGGGTCTGCAACATTCAGATCCGTATGTACTTCACAAATCTCTAGGTCATATTATAAATGCTGCTTCCATGCTCCGCTTGGAGCTATTCCAAATGGTTGCTCCACTATACGTATCCGGTTTGCTACTCAGAGTCATTCGGATAGGTGTTAAAGCTTGCATCGATGTAACCCTTTACGCCGAACTCTTTATCACCTCCATAATCGAGAAACATGTCCTTATTACTCCAAGGACAATTTTGACCGCTATCTAGTGATCCACTCCTAGATCACCTTTGTACCCTCTTGCCAGACATGTGGCAAGGCACACATTAGGTGCGGTACTCATCATGGCATACCGTATAGAGCCTATGACAAAAGCACAGGGGACGACATTCGTCCTTTCTCTTTCTTCTGCCGTGGTCGAGCTTTAAGTCTTAACTTCATACCTTACAACTCAGGCAAGAACTCCTTCTTTGACTGATCCATCTTGAACACCTTCAAGATCATGTCAAGGTATGTGCTCATTTGAAAGTACCGTTAAGCGTTTTGATCTATCCTTATAGATCTTGATGCTCAATGTTCAAGTAGCTTAATCCAGGCTTTCCATTGAAAAACCCTTTCCAAATAACTCTATATGCTTTCCAGAAATTCTACATCATTTCTGATCCACAATATGTCAACAACATATACTCATCAGAAATTCTATAGTGCTCCCACTCACTTCTTTGGAAATACAAGTTTCTCATAAACTTTGTATACACCCAAAATCTTTGATCATCTCATCAAAGCATACATTCCAACTCCGAGATGCTTACTCCAGTCCTTAGAAGGATTGCTGGAGCTTTGCATACTTATTAGCATCTTTCAGGATTGACAAAACC